AAAATATTTTAAAACCTTGGCTCAATTTACGCGGAATACCCTGTATATTTAAAGTAGTGCACAATTCTTGCCAATACACAATACAAAAATGAAATAATGTATCTGTATGCATTGGACATATTCAAGACGATTCGAACAAGTTTCACCACACGCCATAGTAACGCCGACGGCTACGCCGACGCCGCTCAAGCCGGAATCGAGCGCATAAGAGCTGCGCTCTAAAACAAAACGTATTAATAACGGTCGTAGTTTTTTTTTTTTTGAATGTTATAACATAACTTGTAAGTCCAACCAAGCACAAATGTGCTTGGCGACTTTGCACGTTTAGCCTACGCCTTCTCTGAGAAAGAGGATGAGTGCCCGAAGCGCAAGAGGAACACGCCTACATATTTGTGCAGCGAATTCCAGGCTGGGGCTTGTACAGTGCTCTGACTTATGCAAATAGAAACCACAGAGCCGCAGCGAGCGAAAATAAAAATTTAACTAACTTTTGGGCTGCATTTCTTGTTGTTTCCTAAAGTATGTAACAAAAAGCTCGAATACATTACAACATATATTACACTTGTGTGCACTAATGCTTCATAGTAGCAGTTCACTAAAGTTATCTAAACACTCAAACAAAAAAAAAAAAACAAAAAATTATTTGGGATTATTTTGTTCGAGACCATTGTGTCCGGGACTATTTTGACCTACATCCGACCGTTATACCGGTATAGTAAGGGCTCGGATGGTTCGCAAAGCGAAGGTTAGAATTCCGACGTACACCGGAAACGGTACAAAATGTCTTCGTTTAACGTAATTGGCAAAAGGTAATTGTGAGCTACATTTTTATTTTTGCGTGTGTCGCCAGGACGTTTTGCTCCGCTTGAGTGCCATCTACCTTTCAACGGAAACTGCCATGGCCCAGAAACATCGTGTGTCATTTTGAGATCATTTCCCCTATTATTACTTTATTTGTTATTTGTTCTGTGCTATGTATTGAGTCATAGTAAATCTGTCCGTATTGTTGTAAATTTGCAGCAACTACCGAGGTGGCTTTGATAGCAATATGGACAGCGCCATACTCCGCAGTTCTATTTTTTCGACTCTAAATAAATTATTTCAGAGAAATGATACCTCTTAAAACAGCTACTGCAATACTTCGTGCACTATGCTAATTATTATGAGGTTACCTTCATCTATTCCTTCGTCAATAGGCTGTCATACAAAGTAGGGCTAGGCAATTGATCGGTTAACCTACCGATTAACTTTTTTAACTGGTAAAATGTTGCCAAATTAAAAGAAAGAAAATTTACTCGCCTTCACCATGCAGACGTGGACGAGTGCACCTGTATGAAGGGCAAACTTTACGTTAAAATTTTAGCCTAAAGTAAAATGTAGGGAGGGGCAAGGTTTGCACCTCCTGACAAGGGCGCAGAAGGTCGCACGTGGCCCGGTGACCTTAACGCCATTCGAGTGTCCGTTTAGCGCAGCAGAGACTATTGTCAACAATCAGAGAAGGTCGCAGTTACCGGAGATCATCAACGAACCTCTTTGACTCATGCAGCTTAAGTAATAATCTTAGACTGCGAGTGCCTTTGAACATGGTCTGAACCAAACATCGAGGTTGATTCATTACTAAAATTTTTATATAGCGCCCCGTACCATGTGTTCAGCAAAAGCAACATATATATATATATATATATATATATATATATATATAATAATTTTTGATTGTTTTAAAAATAATTTGCTTGAAAATTACCAACACCGATTAATCGATTAATTAATCGATTGAAGGGTGGTGATTAATATGGTTAAAACTTTTATCGACGCCCAGCAACTACGGTAACAAGGGTGTAAGAGGCCCCATCATGGGCACCTGAAAACCCACTCATTCAGACTAGAAAGAATATAGACAAAGAAATCCCTGAACGATGCAAATATTAGAAAATAAAGTAATTGGTGCTTATCACGACGAGCTATAGAAACAAAGCCAATTAAAAAAAACATAGGAAAAGGAAAGGAAGACTTAAACTAGAACATGAGTGGAGGTAAAAGGTTCTGATATTATATCCGTGAAATACACGTAATTGTTTATGTCAGGACAACGGTTCTTACACAAAGTCAAAGTCAAAAACAAAAGAAAAAAAAACCTGTTTTTACTTTTTGTGTTTGCATTCTATGCTATTACATACAAATCAATTTGTGTAATAAAAAACGAGTCTTTTTTGTTGTAATTGGGTATCGTCGTAAGAGCGTTTTAATTGACCGTTAAAATGATAACGCTCCATATTATTGGAAGCCGTTCAACACTCCCGTTCGCCCCTAATCGACATTGTAGAACCTTCTGCTTCTCGGACGGTGTCTTCCATTCAAGTTTGTAACCGCGAAGATGCGTTCACGCTGCTCTAGCATGCTACAGGTGTGCGTGTACCCTACACCTGCTGTAATCTTTCAAATAGCTCATAGTTCACGCACTGTGTGACGTTATTGGGTTGAGTACGGCACCATTTTTTCGATTGACTCGTATATGATTGTCGCTTATTTTTCCACGACGCAATTGAAAACAACCTTCGGAATGATGGTAAAAAAAAAGGTTGTTTTTCTCTAACTGACACATGCGCGATGAGGTTTTGACTTCCAGCTGCGCACTAAAAAAACAAGAAGATGGAGTGTCAGGCTTGCCTATGCTATTAAAGACAGCGCAAGTGGTGGGACAGTTTAGTCAGATGGCAGTAATGTCATTACTGTATAGGAATAAAAGTAATTAGATTACTTTTTGGAGTAATTAGTAATGTAATGAATTACTTCTCTAGGCTAGTAATTTTAGTAATGTAATGAATTACCTCCAGGCAGTAATTTCGAGAAAATTACTCATTAATTTTGAATTTACTTTTGTCCTAAATGAGAAAATTCGTTTGCAAGCTTTAAGAAAGAGAAAAGTTATTTTGCATGGTGCAATGCATTGAAAGACCATCAGAGGAAATAATCGACGGCCACCTGAGCGCAAAGCCCTGTACGAAGAGCTGGACAGACGCACAAAGGAGGGCTGGAAAGGTGAAGGTGAAAAGCTTGCCTGTAGACTTCGCTGGAAGGCAACGGCCTACGAACTCCAGGCACAACAGATTCACGGCGTCGCGTCATCACAACAATACTATACTTCGTTCATCCCTAAGCTGTCAATGCTGTCGGAGGTGCAAGCTAACCAGAACCAATCAAACAGCTTCTTTTAATCACGAGTCCCGCCCCTTCCTTGCGCGTGGGTATGAACGACAGCGTGGTGACGTGGCGAACGATAGACGTGTGACTGCTCCAACAAACACGTAGCTTCCACTGTTCATCCCTAAGCTGACAGTGCGTCAGCTTAGGGATGAACCGCTGATAGGCTACAAGGCGACGGGCACATCACCAGTGAGTTAAATATAATTTAACACCTGAGAGGACAGTACAAACAGTTCCCCAGAATGTACTTTCCTCAAGCAAAGTCAAACAGTAAGCTTCGACCATTGTGAACAACGAACGACCGGAATAAATAGTTTATTCCAAATTCCATGTCAAAGCCCCAGAACGTTTCGTGCCTCCTTGAACAAAGCAGGTCTGGCTCGCGGTATGCCTCGCTGCGTTCCCTTTTGAAGTTTATTCGGGAATAAGCCTACAAGCAGATATTGCCCCCCGTTTGTTGGGAAAGTACACAACTTGGGAAACTCGCGCCATTCCTCAGCTGGCGACGCTTCTGCTTAGCAATTATCCGGGCCCTTTGTGTGACAATTCGCAGAAACATGGACTCTTCGGATGTTTCGGAAAAATGCTCCTCGAAAGGAATGACCGAGAATAGGCCAACTAAACTCGGCGACAACTTTTCTTGGCAGTGCACTGGAGGGTACAGGCACGCGTTCCCTCTCCCATTTTGAGCGCTGAATAGACGTGTGCGCGGGCTCTCCTCCTCTCCACTGCTTTGCCAAGAAAACTTATCGCCACGTATAGTGCTCCCGGGAGAATAGAATTATATCGCGTCCGAGGCGGGAGGGAAAAGTTTCACGTGATGACTCCTTGTAAGAACGAGCCGCCATTGCCCGACTTAACAAACCGACACTTATAAATCAGAAAGACTGAAACATATTTTCAGTCTCCCTGAAACATAGCTTTAGTAAGACCCTTCACCGTTGAATGAACAGCGAAGCCGGTGAGTAGACTGTCTTTCTGAGTCACATCTAAAGCAGCTATTGATCATGCTTAACACCTACGTCGTGTGCGCCACCAGAATTACTGTTCAGTATGGTTCCCTTTGAAGCACATAAGGTTGTTGCGGTGTAAACAGGAAGATCTTAGTTTTGGTACATATAATAGACCAACTCAGGTCTTTGACGTGATATCACTGCGGTGAGCGCTGCTGTTGGCACTGCGCATCCACAGCGGCTCGCTTCTCCCGGATCTGGTTCCTGCACAAGCGCTGTGGGGGCAAGCGAGGGCTTGTTTAGTAAATACTGTGTTGGTGAATTGGCTAATAAAATGAGCGTGAATTACTGTCTCAATGTATTCAAAAGTAATGTCAAAGTAATTTCATTACTTTTGGAAAGTAATTGTAATGTAATGTCTTTACCTCTAGTCTGCGGAAATTTGGCATGTACTTTAATTGCAGTTTTGCAGTTTTCAGAAAAGTAATTACTGACGGAATTCGATTCCTTTTTTAAAGTAATTTTGCCATCTCTGTCATCACACACTACGTGACGTTATTGGGGCTGATACGGCACCATTTTCTCGGTCGACTCTTTTATGATTGTCGCTTATTTTTCAACGACGCAATAAAATATGACCTTCGGAATGATCGTAAAAAAAGGGTTGTTTTTGTCTAACTGACGCATGCGCGATGAGTTTTTGACTTCCAGCTGCGCACTAAATGAACTGCAACAAAATAGAGTATCAGGTTTGCCTACACTACTAAAGACAGCGCGAGTGGTGGGACAGTTCAGTCGTACAGTTAGTGCTTTTCTATTGCTACAGCCACTAACCGCCAAAAAATGTCGCTGGTTTTCTTTGCGATTGCCGCATTTTCGATTTTTCGGTGTGGCAGCGCAACATCGAATTACCCTGAGATGAATCCAGAGCTCGGAAAGTACCAAGATGCGTCTGCGGTATGTAGAAGTCACCCATGTCTGAAATTAGCAGCTAGTGGGAACTCGATTTAGTTTAACTACGATTAACTATTTAAATATATATTACCAGGTTTATTTTACCCATATATGAGTCACCGTTGATTTCGTCCACTTATTTCCTACCTCGCGTGATCGATTGAAGTTATTTACTATAAGATTCTTCCTTATATACTTTGTTTCGGCTTATGTCCTGACGCAGACGACGGTACGAAGCAATTGGATCAATTTAGTAGCGTTAAAAGCGCGAGTCAGTAGGCCTTCTCTGTACCTGATTAATGCAGGGAGGATAGAACACATACATACCTACGACGATCATCGTGACGGTGCGCTTTTGACGCTGTCTGATTGGTTCCATTTGCTCGTAGCGTTGGCTGCGTCTGGAATTAAGATAAAGCGAAATATAATTATCTAAGTAAAAAAAAGTTAGGGGTATTTTTTTTTAAAAATGAGTTACATAATTATGTGAAGCGAAACTGAGGTTAACAGGTATGTGCGCTTATCAAACTTGCTTCGAGCCGCTGTACCGCAACAACCTTTACAAAAGAACATTTTTTCTAGCATAATATGACGGATTTTATATTAATACCCTTTGGAAATGGTGGATAGCGAGATACACGCCTAATTTCAGACAAAATTGGCTTAGTTCTGGTTTCTGAATTTACCTAATTAAAAAAAAAAAACTACGTTGTTAAAGCCGGGCAAAAATGCGAACTATACTGAAAAAGAAAAAGGCTGCAGAAGCCACTATTGTTGGTTGTCTATGAATCATGTTTAGCCTGTTCTTTTTTTACGAGACCATGGACGACGACGAGGACGCTGTTAAGAACGACGTCTAGGGCGGCCTCAAGGACAACATCTAGGGCCTAGAGACCCTAGAGGTTATATATATATATATATATATTGTTAGGAAGATAAAGACGACGACGGGGCAGTGGCAAGCACGACCGTCTCGCGCCAGGCCCCACGGCCCGGCTCGGCCTCCATAAATTATTCTATCTTCTTTCCGCCATCACCTGTCATTACCTCCATGCTGCTGACAGCATCATCCTAACAATACATATATAAATTTTTTTTCAATTTAGCGGGGAAGTCGAATCGGTGTATAGGTCATGCGACGTCATTTTTTTCCGCTAAATTGAACGGGGAAACTGCGCATTAGGAGGAATGAAAGGTCCACGAACTCGGGGGGGGGAAGGAAGAGGGAATGGAGTAGATAAAGAATGCTAACGCACTGAGACGAAATAACAGGGGAAAATTATGTAGCTAGAGCTCGATAATGTTAGCACAAACAAGCAAAAGCCGATGGTTGATATATTCTTTTATTATAGTCACTCGAAGTTTAGAAAACGCAGGGCGTGGTTTCATAGGTTCACCCGCAATGATGTGATTGCTGCGCCAATTGCGCCAAACTGCGGCAAGGGGCTAACAATGCTACGTCCTGCTACATTTTGCCGAAGTATGGGTAATCTGCGCCCAGCCTGCGCCAAAGGATCAATTTCGGTTGCCTTTCAAAACCGAAACTAAACCAAGAACGTAATTGAACGTGCGTGAGCAAGGTTGCGCAAGCGGCCGCCCGACATAAAGTACCCAGCATCCATCCGGTCTTGCATAGTTTCTGCCTCCGCCTTGCGTTTCGCGCCTCGTCGTCTCGGGAATCTCGTCTCGCGTCTTTTTTAAACATTTTCAACGATAGACGCGGGCGTGTGCGGACGCTCCGACGCTAGTGTGCCGGGTGCCAGACATGCCGTCGGGCTGTGAAACAAAACCGCGTTTTTGCGCGACGAGAGTTGCTTTGTGAGCTGAAACGCTGACCGCGCGACGTCGGGTGTTGCCGTCCCCACGTCGCTGCAGATATGGTGCTTTCTAAACTTTTTCATCGACATTCCTCTCCTTGTTTAAATCAATTTTTTTTACAGCGGAGCTGTTAAGTGCTTGTTTCCCCAGGATCGTGTCCGCCAGCAAATAAATGTCGACACAATACGCCGGACAGCTACCGCCATCTATAAGCGACGGCGGCAACCAGACAACAGGCTTGCCGGTTGTCTGGTTGCTGCCGCTGCCTATAGATGGTGGCAACCTTTCCAGGTCTTTACACTATGGCTTGCCGCCTTGCGGCCGGCCATTACTTCATTCCCACCAGAGTACAGCTTCGCTGGTCTTTCTTCTTCATCAGATTGGAAAGGCTGAAATTTTTTTTCTCTATTAAACATTAAAAAAAAAAAAATGTGAAAAAGTGTTTTTGCCGACAGTCGCAGGTCTCCCGTGTGGCTCACATTTCTATCGTTGGTTTATATTCTATGCTATTTCAATCTTCTTTTCTAGAACACTGTGGAAACTATAAAAAGGTCCTAATATATTGAAATATTTAGGACATTCTATTTTTATTAGTAAAAGTTTTCGGTCGATTTCTGGTGAGATATATGTGAAGCGCTGTTTGTGATATGCTGAAATTAAATTATTGCTTTGTTCGTGAGTGGGTAGTCCCTGAATTAGCTCGTTACATTATTTCCTGAAATCTTTCAGTTGTGTAGCATACACGTTTCGAAATTATCTATTCAACATGGCAAACAAAGAAAATGGATGAGCTCTATCACTGCCTCCTTTTCTTTTTTAAACCTAAGCTTTTTTTTTTTTTCTTTTGCGAGCTTTTGGGCATACTATTTGCATTCTAAAATGTTTAGGAGTGTAAACAAATTATCTGCATGATCTCTTTTGAGCTACTTAATTTTGGGAGATCATCAAAATACTGGTAATCCGCGCTAGCGTCACCTCTATGAAAACAACTCTCTCATTACCACCTTTATCATTACGTCATAGAATTTCGCGTATTTCCCTATTCCTTAAAATGTATCACCATAATTCTTTCCTGCGCGACAAAACGATTGTTCGGCCTGTCTATGTTTTCTCCCTTCTTGATCATCAACATAAGGTGGGCATTCCTAACTCTATCACGACCACGTTTTATTCATCTTTCGTTCCCCGTACATCCCAGGAGTGGAACCACCTTCCCCGGTCGATCGCCATTATCACGAACTCTGAGCTTTTTAAAAGTACAATAACTAATTACTTTATTACTGAGTGTGTCTAATGTGTATTATGTTATTTGCATTAACCTTCTTTTTCCTCTCCCGCTCTGTAATGCCTTCGGGCCCTGGGGGTATAACAAATTAAATGAAATGAAATCTCCAAAATGCTATTTTTGTTCCCCAGATTCCCCAGACTTTAGGTAATTAAAAAGAAGTAACAATTAGTTTGAAACCTAAACTGCAGAGACTTTCGTTTTCTTTAGCTTTCCCCATATACACCTACCTTCCAAAGGTGACGTCCGGGACAGAAAGCAATGCGGACGGGAGGTAACCAACTATGCCTATGTCTAGCAGCGAAAGAACACGAGCGTTTGCGGTATCCGAGGGTAATACTGTAATTTGTGATAAAAATGTTAACAGTAATAATACGCTTTGCTGCCACAAACCGTCACCTTGGAGTACCCTTGAGCCGTACTCGGTGTTTTCGTTAGGTTGCACGTTTTAATCCGTTCTCCCATCACGAATCAGGGACTGTGCGGCAAAGCAAGGTTAGAGAGTTTTGAAAGAGAATGAAGGAATACGCGTCCGGGCCTACGCCATGAGCAGCGGGCAAACCTATTTTCGATGAAGGTCGGTCTAAAATAAGAATGAAAGCAATCGCAGCAACAGCTAAGCGAAGTAACACTGAGGGGCAGTGAAAGGCATATGGTATATATTCTATAGATGACGCAGAGTAGTTTGAGAACAATCGGCCGGGAAAATGTAATAAGTCAGAAATCCATACTTGCGGAGTTGCTATGCTAGGAGTTTATTGTATGTATTACGACAGTTTCGCCGAGAGGCTCGGCTTCGTCTGGAGATGGCATACAAGTCATATATATATATATATATATACGGGGTGGCTTTTTAAGTTTTACAGATCTGTTTAAAAAAAAAAAAAACGTGGAAGTTACACTTATGCGGCTTGTGCAGGTGAGTTATACAGCGAGGGGGACATTATGCGAGTGGCTAATCTTTGCGATAAGTCGGCTAATTAACTAAAATTTGTTAATTAACTTTTTATTTAGTGAAAATAGACATATGGTTCCAATAAGAAACTTGCTGAGCGTTATCGACAACCACTGAATTAGTCACTTTCAGAAAGACCTTCAGCGCGTGAGAAGCGTAGTAGTGCAATAAAGTTACCACCGTAGAGCAGGTGCAAGGCTAGCGGTTGCGGTAAGGCGCCCGTGCGATTTTTCCGTCTCTTATCTAGCCCCAGCCTTGTACCTGCTCCACGAGTGGTAACTTTAGCGCGCTACTGCGCTTCTCACACTCGCGAAGTCTTCCTAAAATTTACTGATTTAAGTGTTTTGGATGACTCTCAGCAAATTTACAATTAGAACAATACAACTATTTTCACTAATTAAAAATTTAATTAACGAATTTTAATTAATTAGCCAACTGATCTTTATGATTAACCCTATATACTTTGTCCACCGTGCCGTATAACTCACCTGAACAAACCGTATAAGAGTAGCTTTCTCAGCTTTTTTCAAACAGATTTGTTAAGCTTGAAAAACACCCTACATATTATATATACAGAGAGAGAGAGAGAGAAAGAAAATTATATTGTAGGATGCTGCAGAATAGAAAGTAATGAAGTCGCTCTTCGAAGCTTTGTTGGTATTTTAAAGGGATACTTCAACGAAATTTGAAATATTCCCGTCGTGTTCAAAAATAGGTTCAATATGATCCACAATATCCGTAAATGACAATCGCACGTTTGTATTTTGATCCTGGTGGCTGTATTTTTCGTTATAAACGGCCCACTCTGGCAAGCGCTCGGAGAAGGCCCAGCTTAGAGCACGTGACATCCAACGCAATCGTGACGTAGGTCGTCTCAAGACGAGCAAAGCTACGGCCAGGCTGACGTAGAGAGGATGGCCTAGTCTTTCCAGCCACCGAAGCGGC